CGGTTTGTCTTCTGATTTGCCGTCATGTGAAACTTAGCAGCAACAATTCAAGTCGGACCTGAATAGCACAAGTTGATGGCTTGATGCTCCGGCAAGTGTTGGGACCATTGATAAGCAATGGAACCACTGTCCTCCCTCCTTCATGCGGCTTCAAAGGGGACGTTGCATGCTTCTAAGTCTCATCACACGTTCATGGGTGATAAGTGACATTCTCGGTGTGGCCTTGGCTACATCTGGCCAAATCCACCACCTAACATTTTCTTTATGGTCGGTTTTCATTCTGTTAAACAATTTAGTCCTCCATTCTTTAATATTTGTTCAAAGTGATGGTTAAGTCACTCTGAGGACGCAACGAGAAGTGATTCATACTGAAATTGGACTAGGTCTTGCGATGTCTCTGTAAGGTTAGCGTTGAGCTAGTCTCATTTCCCATGCTTTGATAATGATCCATCGGTGTGAAATGTTCTCAACAAAGAATAGAAATGGGAGGCACCAAAATGATGATGCGAAGTTGTATTTTATGAGCTCTTTACCTGAAACTAAGAAAGAAGCGACTTCGACTTCGAAGACTGTGTTAAGGGCCTAACCCTCGGTCTGGTTACTCGGCAAGTAGAATTCAAGATGAACTATTAATCATGTAGGAAACCCTAAACAGCCCTTAATTCATAAAGTATGGCTACGTATGTAAAGAGCACAAGCTAGGATGTGTGCAATATACAGTGGATCAAAGTGCACCGAGCAAAGAGGGGGAATGAACGCATCATCTTTTGATTCATAACTGATGTATTGGATGATTTTCTTCATCACTCGATATTCATGGTTTGACTTCAGGAAAGAGGAGAGACAGGAGAGTAGGTGCTGAGCTGTGAGTTTAGGTCATACAGGAAGAGGGTATTAGCCCTTTCTACCTTTGGTAGTATCCCCACCCAAGTTCGAACACCCTTGCATGGATTCCTAGTACCAAACAGTGGGAATGATAGGAAAGAGATAGAAATTGGAAGCAGCGAGAGGGTGGCTCTAAGCTCTACCTCATTTGGATGGTGCTCCAGCTTTTTTTTGTCTGCCACACCGAAACCTCAATGCCCCTTCGTCGTTTGGCTCTGTTTAACGGACTCAACAGATTCTCTTGTGCGTAGCTCTCTACATGGAGGCCGGTCTTGATGTGTGTATGGCTCAGATTATATATATCTCAAAGCTAATTTGCACAAGAGAAGAGCTCTCAAAGATGGTTTTTTTGGCTTTTTTTGAGTTTTTCTACCAACACCGTGGGCCTAAGTTCGCTAGTTTGTGAGATTTGGAATATGAGGGTTGGGAATATTTCTTTTTCAAACGCAGCTTGGGCTATTCCCCGCCAGGACGTGGTTTCTTTAAGACAAAGAAAGCGGGACATGGTGTCCCCGCCAGGGCCGATTGGTTCACACTCAATGGTGCTTACCGAATGGAGGTAATGAATCAAGGAAAAGCAGAAACGGCAATTGAGAGTTAGTCCTTAATAAGCATTTCAATCAACAGCTGCCAGGAGAACATTTACATTCTTTAATTGCTTGCGGTAATGTTCTGATCAAGCTAAGTTTTGCCTTTCCATTTGGCTAGGTAATCCATACTTTGTGGGAGGTGTTTCATATGCTGGCTGAGAATCAAATATTGGGTTGTGTCCTCATTGGATGATAATTTGTAAGGACTACTTTACCTAAAAGAAAACGCGTAAATATTGAAATTTATCTGGACCACAAAAGGGTCAAGAATGAGACGGGATGAGATTAGTATCTAATACATGGACTGATGCACAAGGGAAGGCTCTTATAAATTTTTTATTGCAACAATCTTATGATTGAGCTAGTTTATGAAGAGCTGTAATTACACACAGGAAGGGCAGAGACGAAGGATTAAATTATCATATGCCAAATTAATTAGTTGAGTGATTGATGAAGGTAGCTCTCATAATGTGTTGTTCCTTCTGCTTCCGGTGTTTCAGAGCAGGGCAGACGGGTCGTTTCAAAAATGCTTTTGGTCTTAATGTTAAAATAGCTCGCATTGAGGTTTGGCGTGATTGTTTACCAATTGCTTGAACTGTGTCCTTCTGAGATTCGAACCATCAAAAGCACTTTCTTTATCGGAGTTGGCTGGCAGCGTCAAGTCTTGTGGGATTCATGGTAGATGCCGGTGTTCAAGTGCGGAATTCTCATAGCTTTGGTTATTTGGCAGTCTAAGTTAATTTCTCATGTTAATTCTGCATATTCGCACTATGTTTCTACTCTCACTAGGCAGCTTCTAGTTATATGTCATGTTTTCTTTTTCGAAATCCAATACTTTGTTTGAGCTTCCCCATTGCCTCATACAAGGTCTAGTTATTATATGTTATTCTCAGCATCTCATAATCGACTCTACTCCTAGTCCTATCAACAGTTTGTTTGTGGAATGATAGCAAACCATATCAAGGCTTAGCATTTTTAGTTAATTCGGCTAATAACCTTCTAATTCTCAACAAAAAAGTATGGGGTATAAAAAGCTGTTATCTTGTGGTGCTGTTTTCTATGTCTTGGCTCTCCTTTGCATTTGGTGGCTTTTCGCCCTGGGTAGCACCATTGGGTTTCACCGACATGATTCGCGTTAGGCCGTTCACGTTGAGGCCGAGTTTGGCTCCTCCTTGGGATCCTTCTTCTTAATGCCGTGACTTTTCTAAGTATGAGGACTACCCTTTGACTCCTTTGGTTGACTTTGCGTTGGTATTGTAAGCCCTTAGCACTTTGACTGTTATGCCCAGCCATCGTTTACTGTTTGTTCTTTCTATCCAGATCTCAGGCAAGGAATGCCTCGTAGGTTCCATTCTCTACTCCTTGGTTTC